GAATATATTACGCCGAGAAATAGAGAAAGACATGAAAAGAATGAACAAAAACTGGAAAGAACTGGAAAGGGAAGCCCAGGACAGAGTAGGCTGAAGAAGACTAGTCGGCGGCCTAAACTCCATTAGGGGTAACAGGCGTAAGTAAGTAAGTAAGTAAATAATATTGAATTTAATCCGTTATGAGCAAAAGTTGAACATATCGTAATTAATCATGGCTATTAAAAATCCTAAGTTATTAATCATGATAAATGAAGGCATAGTAAATGAAACAGCATTAACTGCAACGAAAAAAGATGTTGTTCACGTTTACGCTTGTATGTAGCCTTTATTATGTAAAGTCATTTTCTGAGGTCATCTCATTCCCCATAACAACTCAATGGGATATTGCTGTACGAAAAGATATTACCGACGTGTCAAATAATGTTGAAATACTCACAAATTTTCTTTTATATATCGAATCGGCTTTTATAAGAATTGAAATCAGTTGCTATATGTTACTGAATAAACCACTCACCATTATTATAACTATACAATGTTGACAAAAAGTGCTACTATCTGTTTGTTACAGAAGCTTTATTCACATTAAAATGAATTTAACTGTTGTTAATATTCCACGGAGATTCTAATATCATTTTATTTTGAAGTGTGTAATTTATAAACGAATCATTTTTCAGAGATTAATCACTAAATCTGTGAAGAGTTATGCAGTTCTCAGTGTTTTACTCGAGTAAAATAAGAAAATTCATAAGAAAACACATTTATAAATTGAAATATCATTTTTGGAATCATGAATCGATCAATATTAGACCACTATTGGAAACCTGGAAGCACTGGTCGGTTGGTTCATTCCGATATGGGATTCACTAACAGTGCCCATCCACGACTTCTGCCACTCGCAGAAATCCAACCCAGTTCCTTCGGTCATGCGCGCGAATGATTAACCTCCATACCAGTGAGCCGACATTCAACGCTGTTAATGTCTAACGTCGAATAATCCATGGTCTATCTCAACTTCATCCACTATAATGTAACTACCATTTTGTTAAATAAAATTTACTTGACTGATTTATCTTGTTGATGCAATGAGTATTAAGTAACAATCAGGAAAACTGTTATATGTTTAAAAGAATCTTGATAACCTAAGTGCTTAATCTCATTCACAGTAGATAATGATATTTTGTTAGAATAAAATTCACATTCAGCCTAAAATGATCGCTGGGCTTGACGCTTTTGTATATAAATACTAATGATGGTCAACCAACAGGCCTGCTGAACATGCACATTGCTGCATTGATAGGCATAGGAACATACATGTTGTCCAGGTTGGTCTGCAGACAAGTTGGACATCCAAAAAGCACGCACACGAGCAGTAGCCCTCGCACGGGCACTTACGAATCAATAAATCCCACCAACCAAACCACAGCCCACAATCCCCAATCGGCGAGGGCGGCAAGGTGGACTTATCCATCCGGACATGGCACCCCGAAGCGGATTACCGAGTCACCCAAGCAGTGCACTAACCAGCAGCCGTTCCAACCGTCTGGCCTCCAACTGCCCTGCGCTGAACAATCGACCGGAGTCCTCAAGGCCCCACATAAAGCTAAAGATCGAGTTTGTCCCACAAGGTCAGCTAGAACGTACACCTTTCCATGAGGAAGATGTCATGGACTCGACCAAACGCAAGCGCTTAGCCAAGCAGGGTCCATCCCATAGAAGTGGGCAGACATCATTGGTGTTAAGTACCCAAATGGAGACCCTTGTTTAAGGGGCCTCGACGCCAGTTCACACACTACATCAGGTGCAGAGTGTAAGGGACAACCACATAGGGTCGGCGTCAGTTGTCCAGGATGTCTGCGGCTGCTTCCTCAAACAAATCGTATATACAAATTGTATATAAATACTATATATATATATATATATATATATATATATATATATATATATATATATAAAATGATTACCTATCTTCTAACAAGCTTTTCATTCTGTACACACTTTTGACGTTATCCAAATTTAAATTGCACCTTAACATGTTAATCGTTTGAATTTCGAAAAAAAAATTTTTATTATGAAGTCATACAAAATAGTGATATCACATTTAAACCGAAAATATTTGCCTATTTAATTTACATAATTCTCAAATGAGAAAAAAATAAGTAACAATCAATATCACTTACATCATAAAACTTATGATATTTATTACTTTGAACAAGCAAAAGTAAATGATAGTCTTTTTTTTCCTTGGCCATCTGTTAACCTAATATAGTGTTGCTATTTTATTTGAAGGAAGTAACTTCAAATCATTTTATAGTTAAAGTTTTACTTTTATTGCTATTATTTCGAAAGTTCAATGATTGTTATGTAAAAAAAAGAGTAAACAGTCTAAATCAAAAGTTCTTTGTATCACAGATATTTTTAATGACAAATACTGAGGAAATCTGAGATATTATCAACACGTTTATGGTATTTATTATAAAGGTACATTTAATGTGTAACTTAACAATCTTCACAACAACCCCGTAATGCAAATTACCTGTGCTCACTAGTGACTAGATTCGTGAGGAATCTTCTCCGAGTTCTAGTGGAAAGACGTGACCACTGTGAAGTTCAACATGTTCGGGTGTAGACAGTAACTACCGAAGACTATGTATGAGGTTGCTCAACTCCGTGAATTGACCAAGTTAGACATTAACACCGTTAGATACCGGCTCAGTGGTCCGATGGTAAGGCGTTCGCGCACAATACCGAAGGTCTCGGGTTCGAGTACTGCGGGGTGCAGGAGTCGTGATGCGCACTGCTGAGGAGTCCCATACCAGGACGAAACGGCCGTCCAGTGCTTCCAGTTTTCTAATGGTGGTCTAACATTGATCGATTCATGGTTTCAAAAATGTGTAACTTAACAATCTTCACAACCCCGTAATACACATTTAATTTCTATTAAGTTATGACGATTCAGTAAAAGAGAACAATGTTTTTCAGAAGTGCTATTTGATTAAGTAGGCAAATAAAATGATTTTAATGAAAAGTGAGTAACAATAAAAGTATGGAATGAACATTGTTTATAAAAAACAATTCAAATTCAAAATTCATTTAAATACTATCAATGTTTATTTCTGTAACATTATTTCATTCATCAAAACAATGAAATATCACTTGAACAATTTTCTATCGATGAAGATTTTCTAGTATTATCAATTCAGTATACCGTCTGTATGAATAAACGGTGATCATCTTTAAATATTCATAACAATAGCCAGTGATAGTTGACCTTAATTTATCAATAAAGTGTAATTGATAGAAAACCAACCAACTATCAAAATTATTTCATTGTTCTTCCCATTTATTTAAAATATCCTCTAGTTAAAAAGTAAATATAGAATGTTTGAGTTCAATCTACGTTCATCACGTACTACTCATTTTTGATTGTATGTTGACCGGCCCTAATAAGTTGGAAGAAAGCTAGGGGCGGCCAAACCAAAACATGCCAGCAATCCATGAAGTCATTGACAAGTGGACTGAGTCATGTTGGTAGATGTAGACTACCGGGTTGGGACCCGCGAGACGAAAGTAACTTATGGTTAGAGACCTTGAATGACATGGTTAAAAATCGTTTCCAATGGCGCAGGTGCATCCACTCTTTGTGCGCTTTTTAATTCTAACCTTCTGAACTCCTCATAATCTCTACCTTTCTCCTTCTAAATTTATCTCACTGAATTATACTTCTCGAATCATATCTTCGAAGCCTAATCTTCTCCATCACTGCTAATACTTCTGCTATTACTGCCACTATGGGATTTGAGCTGACAAATGCATTTCTGTGCTAATGTGGTATGGCAAACTGAAGTGATATACGTACGTACGAAGTTCTAGGTTGTAACTGAATGAATGAATGATTGTGTTAAAACTAAGAGGTAATAACTAACGATTTCTAACTAGTTTATGAGTTCTATTAGCTTTAGAATCTTAAATTAATGTCTCATTAAAAAAAACCCAAGTCAAACAGATGCAGATAAATTCGCTTAGATTCTTCGCTCTTGATCTTCACAGTATGTATACACATGAATTTTATTTTCGTACAATTTACACCAATAACAAACTCAGGAGATTCGAAACCGAAATATTTCGAAATATTATTTCTGTAGTTTACGATTTCGCTCTGCATTACTAGTTACGATATCTTAATTTCTGCCACCGAATTAATCATGATTATATGTTCTGTAGTTTTTTTCATATTACTACACAACTTTATTGGTGATATCAGAAATTGGGTATAAGTCTTCGCTAATACATACTATTTTAAAAACAGGAAAAGGTTGCATTATATAGTTGAGAAAATAGATTGTCAAGTATCATACTTCTTATATTTGCTGTACTGAACACCACATTTTATTTTATAGAAAACAGTTTGCATAAAAATGTAGTCAACTGAAATGTGTGCATTTTAACTATGGAAATTATATTTGAACAAAGCTCTCCTTTGACATCAACATTTTGACGGTCATCTTATATAACGATTTACTACTGAGTTAATAGATTTCTCGCAACAAATTAATGTGAAAAAACCTTGATTTACAGTGTGCTACATATCATCTTGTCTCTAAACATCATGAAACGCCTTCTCATCAGATTCATTGTGTCACTTGCCAAAAATATGTGAATTATAATACCTTTACTTAAGATATCTCAGTTGTCCAGTGAGTATTTGAAACTCAAATAATCAACATTGAGATGTTGCTGTACAGAACAAAGTAGCTCAACATTGAAAAAAAAGTATTGTCTACTATCTGGAAGGATGACAGCTCCTTAAGGCTAGATTTTAAACAAAAGGACTAAAATCTTGTAGTGATTAGCCAATCCAACACGTATGCACTACTAACAATCAAGCTTACAGTTAAACAATAATATAGATCTGGTGGCTTAATGATTTGTCTACAATTAATTAAGTCTTATCATAAACGTTTAAAATAGATCAGTAATTTTTCGTTATAAAGTAAACTTACAATCTGAAAATATAAAATGTTTATCCATATGAAATAATATAATATCCACATTTGATAACACATATCTTTAAATTATCAACTGGATGATCGTAGCATATCAAAAATGTGATCAATTTTCCTCAACAGAAGGGATGAAAATATCATAAACATTATTTCAATCACATCTATATAGATGTAGTCTTGCATGAAAACTGAACAAAACAGATGATATTTGGATAATGGGAAGATTTTATCAGTTAAACACAACTAATCAAAATAGTGTTTGTGATCTATTGTATTCAAATTAATTCAAGTTTTATTTTTTTTTATTTCATTATGACTGATCATTAATTCATTTGGCTTATGTGAAAAATTCGAATTGAATTTATTTTTACGGGAATGTTGGGTTCAATCATAAACTATACAAAAATATTACGAATCCAATAGAGTTCACTTATTATTTTTTCCAGTTGATGATAATGATAAACGGTGAAATATAATTTAAAATTTGTTCGTAAACTAATGCAATTGTCTGGATGTCAAAGATACTTATTATTTACTTTGGAAATAAATAGCACATACAATAAGTCATCAACAAAATTTCCCGTATAATTCCAATCAACTGCATAAAAATCCTATTTTTTAAGTTTTAAATCTAATGAATTTTCTGAAATATGATTGGCTAATTTTTCTCGAACCTGATTGACTAGTTGTACTGGATTGTGATTGGTCATTATAAGTAGCCTAATCATTTGTCTATGCTTTGACTTCATTAAAACTTACAATTAAATCATGTATTAACATAGATGGTTTTTTGTGATTTCAGAAATTAGTTTAAGATGAAGGTAATCTTGATTACAGAGAGAAAGGAACTGCTTGAAAAACATCTATATCTTTAAAGTACCAAAACGCTCAGTCAAAGTTGAAAACAAAACTTTTCTCAAGTCAAAGTATATACAAAATTTAACTAAACTCGAAATCTTCGGTTTCGCAGTAAAAACACCAAATCCTATGAACAATGGTTTGTATTTGTAGACTTACTTAACTCGTAATATCAATAAACTACTTACTGGATATTGGTCAAGTGGTTTGAAAACCACTGACCAGCTCTGATCAGCATCTCTAGTTGTGGGTTTATGTATATGAGATTACTGTTCGAAAGTCTCATACTCAAACGAAACAACTGCACGATTCTCAACAGTTGCCTAAAATGTATTATTCCAAGTTGTTAATTTGCATCAGCTCACTTAAGCCTGTTCAGGATTTATTTGTTAAATCTTACAATTATCGATTAATTGTCAGACAATATCATCAGGTCGGTAAAATTGTATATCTATCTTCCTATTCTAGTGATCATGTTTGCTTGAGTGTGTTTGGTTGATCACTTGCTACAACATACATATTCCCCTTACTATAAGCTATGAAAAAACGTTTAGTTAACTCTCCAATAGTTGTACAGAACACCTCTACATTTCAATGATATTACATAAGCCATATCTGATTACTTTGTGAACGGATAAGATTGAAAGGAAAAAATGTTACGGTTCATGTACTTTATTTCCAATCGTGACTTAATTGCTGTTACCAGTGAAAGTAGGTTTGTTATTCGGTATCAGCATTAAATGTCTCAAACTCGAACGTCTAGATATTTTTTAGTGTAGTTTATGTTGATGTGTTCATTGAAAGTAGGTACAACACATGATTCATTCAAGTCTAAATCAACTTCCTTGATACACTTTTTACACTATTGACGTTAGTTGTTTTCACCATACTAGAAAAACACAATACACCTAGTGACTTTTTCCAATGAAAGTGATCCGTATCACATTGTCAGATAATGATGATTTATGTTATGAATCTGTAGTGCCTCCACGTATATTCGAATTCGCTTACATTTAATTTGGTTAAGCCATTTCGATTAATTTATTTAACCAAGCTATTTGTAAAACAATAACTTATATGTACCATTGGCTTTTATTATTGTGTGGTTTGTATGAGCTTGTACGACTGAGCATTGATTAACGCCTACGCGCATATTCATTCTATTCGCTTTAATGTTAAACTCTTAAATTCCGCAATGACTCGGATATCTTCCTATGTATATATACGAACATTTTAATCTTATTAATTCACTCGCTAGTGTGCCTGCCCGGTCTACTTGTGGTCTGCTATCCGTATTTGTGGTGTGTCCCAAAATAAACGTATTCAACACACTTCGAATTCGCCTTCTGATTTATAAACCGTCATCAGACACTATTCAGTAACGATTGTCTGGACGAGCTAATTACGAAGGCTAAGAACACGTAGAAATTGGCCACCACAAATCTATTTATTTTAACAGCAAAAACACTTCAGTTTAATTATTTTGAATTGTTCAGCTTCTTTGTATGATCATTAGCCATCTGGTTGTTAATAACTTACAGTGATTGGAACAGTTAACCAACGCCAAATGTTGTTTACTCATTGATCAATGTTTCATAATATTCGTGCGAAATATATATTTCCTGCTATATGAATTATAATTAAAAAATTTATTATAGTACACCTTGGAAGAAAAAAATATATACAAGCTGGACCACACAAACATTGATTAAAAGTATTTCAATGCGACATTTGTTGTTTCAGTTGTTATATATATATAGAATTTTTCAGTTTTCACTGCTTGACACATCATTTATCGTTTCATTGGGATTCTATGTTTATTTTGGGTATTATGTAAAATTGTTCATTCATTTAGTGAAAATGTAAACCATTGATAGGCGCAGAGATTTTAATGGTAAACGATCTAAATATGCTACAAATAAAATCTTCCATTTAATTTACGTATTTCTTGCTTATATGAACCCAGTTTGTGCGATGGATTTAAAAAAAGTCAAACAAGGATTGAGTTACTTACTTACTTACGCCTGTTACCCTCAATAGAGCATAGGCCGCTCACCAGTTTTCTCCAACCAACTATGTCCTGGGCTTCCCTTCCCAGTTCTTTCCAGTTTTTGTTCATTCTTCTCATATCTTTCTCTATTTCTCAGCGTAGTGTGTTCTTTGGCCTTCCTCTTTTCCTTTCACCTTGAGGGTTCCATGTGAGGGCTTGTCTTGTGACACGGTTCGGTGCTTTTCGTAGTGTGTGTCCTATCCACTTCCACCACTTCCTCCTGATTTCCTCCTCCACTGGAATCTGGTTTGTTTTCTCCCAAAGTACGTTGTTGCTGATCGTGTCTGGCCAACGAATCCGACAACTGTTCATAAACACTTGTATCTTCTGGATGTGATGGCTTTGGTAGTTCTCCAAGTTTCCGCTCCAAGTTGCATGAGTTTAAATCATGTAATCGTTCACTCAGACAAACATAAAGCTGCAAAGCGCAGAGGCAATGCCAAACAAAGTGGAGAGTGAGCCAACTCGATACAACAAGGCATGACTAACAATTTAAAGTCAGAAAAAATATGACACACGTATAAGAGGCCAGGTAAGTATTGCATATGCGCACTCAAACGAAACATCCAAGATTTAAGCGAATGATAGACAAGGTCAAACAACGTGCGAATAATAACTCGGACAGAAAACAGTTAATGAGTTTGTCCACAAGCTAGGCTAAGCCATGTGGACTCAACATATTAGTACACAAGATCACAGAATTTAGCTACATCGAATAAATCCAATCACATAAAAATATGTAAACTTTCCTTATATTGTTGCAAGTTACTTATATCGTATACTAAAAAAAAACTTAACAAGGTAATAGAAGAAAGTACATTAATTACATTATTCCGTAAATTAATCAAACATATATATGTAATAAACTGCATAATCACTTGTGAAAATTAGAGTCTACATAAATGCTCATTACTGGATCAATAAAACATTAACTTATTATTTAATCAGTATAATGAAATCACATGAATCTCTCCCAATTGAATTTCTTTGGCATATCAAAAAAATATATAAAAGTGTATTTTTTTTCCATGTTAAAATGGATTTTTGGTTAGATTTATTCATGAAGGCAAATATATAACTACTTTTAACAAATATTACATTTTCGGTCAGAGTTTTGGAGATTTGTGTTTTTACACATTTGAAATCATCAATGAAGTTCAACCGTGTCGGGTGTAGGCAGTAACTACTACCAAAGACAAATAAGTGAGGTCGCGCAAAATCCGTAGATCAATCAGAGTTAGACATTAACACCGTTGGATGCCGGCCCGATGGTCCAATGGTTCGGCCTTCGCGCACAATACCGAAGGTCCCGTGTTCGAATCCTGCGAGGTGCATGAGTTGTGGATGCGCACTGCTGATGAGTCAGTCCCATACCAGGACGAAAGGGCCGTGTTTCAGTGCTTTCAGGTTTCTAATGGTGATCTAACAATGAATGATTGATGATTTCAAATGTGTTTATATTACATTCATTACAAAACACATTTCACTTTAAACTGTATTATAATTAAAAGAAATATAAGATTTAAATTATTTTGGTATTATTTGAATGATTGAACTGCGATTGATAGGATTGAGCAATAGCCAATCGCAAAAACTGAATCAGCTCTCTCTTAAGATGAATGACTATTTTATTATCGAACATCTCAGAAATAAAAATAGAAACTTTTTTTCACATTCATGGAGCTATACATTCGAATGAAGAATATTTATTAAAAAAACGGGCATGAAATTCACGAAAATACATTTGATTTTACGTGATGAGCTGTTGAAATATTCAATGTTCACCATTTGTACAAGTCTCAAGTGAACAGCTACCTAGCTCATCAGTTTTAACCAGAATTGCTTAGCTTCGACACCTCATAATGTAAAATTGAATGAAGAGGGCTTCACTGTCATGAAGAAGATTAGTTTGCTCATTATTACAAGTAAGCCTCGATCAGCACTAATGAACTGTATTAACAGGGTACCGATCACTACACAATGGGCAAACATTTATATACATAGACAATAAGATTATTTCTCTGTCATGTGCTATCTATTAAACTATAATCTTAAGACCTTATGTTGATGGTTCATTCGTGCTTATGAAATCAAAATTTTCCTTACTTTATTAAAACTTACTTCTTTTCAAAAGCCATATACATATGTTTTTTTAAAAAAAAATGGAGACTATATTGCCTCCACATCGGAGATAATAGTTTTTTTAACGTTTTCAAATCTAAACCTCTCTACGCTTTCATATTATTGCTTGATAAGAGTGGCAATCAAAAAATGCATTTAAAAAACCTCCTAGTTAACATTATACATGTGTGAATTTTGAAATATTAGAAAACCATATGGTATTATTATGATTATGATTATTTTGAAATATTAAGTTTCTCATGTTTAATTCAAAAATCGAATATGACGTCAATAATACTACAAACAAAATATTATTTGAACACCAAATTCTTTTTGTAAAATACTGCTCAGAAAATGTAAAATCAAATATATATATATATATATATATATATATATATATATATATATATATACATTTAGATCAAACAAGTAGGTTTATTTTTTTTTGTTATTCAGTTGCTATTGACAACAAGCTGTACAATGTTCAATGATCATTTAGTACTTGAATTTTTTTGTAAGAC